AACTCACATTGGGGAGGTTGGGGTCCTGGGCAGTTGCCCAAGAATACCAGGTGCTGATACCTGCCTGGTGAGTTAAGATCTGAATATACCTGAATTTGGCCAGTTTGGATCTTTGATTGGCACCCCGTGCAGGCTCATGGGAGGAAGGCTGGAAGGTTTGGATCTTCCATGCCTTTTGTGGTTCCAGCCCATGGCCTGCCACCATTTAGGAGTCTAAAGCAGGTTTGCACCCCATAATAATAATAATAATAATGATGATGATAATTTTTTTTTTATTTATACCCCACCCTTCCTGGTTCAAAAACCGGGCTCAGGGCGGCTAACAATAAATTTAAAACACTTAATTGTAAAAGCAGCATAAAATACGGTATAAAAACATGAATAACAATAAAATTCAAAGTTCAGAAATCAATTTAGGGGAAATCCATCTAATAAACATTAGATAATCCCCAGGGCTAGCTGGCTGAATTAGTCCTACTTGGGCCAGCGAGGAGGCCAGGGGAGAATTAGCTGTGGGGTCTCAGAGTGGGTGATCTTCATAAAAGGGGAGGGGGAGGGAAGAGAAGGGAAATAGAGGATCAGGCTGAATTCAAATTAAAGGCCAGGTGGAATAGCTCTGACTTACAGGCCCGACGGAAGGAGGTTAAATCCTGAAGGGCCCTAGTCTTATGGGACAGGGCATTCCACCAGGTCGGAGCCATCACTGAGAAGGCCCTGGCTCTGGTGGAGGATAGTCAGACTTCCTTAGCGCCCGGGACCTCTAAACTATGGTTATTCATGGATTTTAAGGTCTTCTGCGGGGCATACCAGGAGAAGCGGTCTCGTAAATATGAGGGCCCTAAGCCACAAAGGGCTTTAAGAAATAAGAAATGCCCATAGTGCAGAAATAAACATGGCGGTGCAACGAGCATTTTTTGAAGGTGCCGACTCCCCTTCAAGTTGGCCCTTCCCTCCCCACTGTGCCTCTGTAAGAAATTCCAATGGGATGGCATTCCGGTTGCTGACATCAGATTAGCGGCATGTTGTTTTGCATGCAAAGGGTGCTGCCGATCAGTCGGGCATGCTAATCTGCGCTTGCAGAAGCATTTTGGAGCCGTGTGGCTGCCTCCTTTGCTTGCACAGAGGTTGAGTGAGTTGCCGTATCTGCGGCTGTTCCCCCCTCCCTCCCCCAGCACTCTACCTGAAAGAGATTTTAAGTGACGGCAAAAGTACCAGAGATTGACTTGTCGGGCTTTGAAATCTCAGCTGCGAAAAGGGAGAGTGTGGGGCTGCGGTGGCTTTGCTAATTCTGGCTAATGAGTCTCCTCGGCATACTGAATTAGGGAGACAATTGCCTTCTGAAAGTCTGTCAAGAGTTGCATGATAAAATGCGCCTTATTGTACTACCAAATGGAGCCGAGTTTGGCCCGACAGGGCACCTCTCATCTCCCGCGCGTTTCCCCCCCAAAGTGCTTCGCAAGGTAATGAGCTGAATACCACGAGTCTAGCCAAGTGCAGTAGTCATTATGAGCTCAACAATAGCTCTCGCACAACCTCGCACGCCGAGAGAGAGGAAATATTGGCCGGAGCATTGTGGGGGACCTGGCAGTTGTGATTGATACATTCCATCAGATCTTTTCGAGACGGCGTTTGAGACGCTCCGGAGGAGTCCTATTGTACATGCCTCCTTTAATCCAACATCCCCTCCCTGCGAAGACCGAGGGCACGGAATACGTCTCGGCCGTCCGAGTGTGGGCATTCGGGTTGACAAATGGACGAACGGCAAATTAATGAGTTATCTACGGCTATCTTTCAAAGGGACGGGAAGAAATAGGAGGCATTAATGACTAGGCAAGGGACTATTATGAAGGGCACCTTATCTGTAGCCAAGTGGCTGAGGTGCTTGTCCAACTGAATCTTCCTATCTCATCCCTGCTTATGTGTCTGCTGTGTATATTGGTGCCATGTGGTTGGCAGAGAGACTAAATCTTATAGGTGAGAGCATTCAGCATCATGTAACTGGGCACCTACTAAATGCAAAATGACAGCTCAGACCTGAGGTTTTTTTACCTGCTTGCTTTTGTTTGAAAACAAGTTTTGTACACAGGGTCAAGTAGTAGATTGGCCTTCCCCAACACCTATCATTTCCCCCCACCATTTGTTCATAATGGTGAGGACTGGTGGGAATGAGGGCTTTGAACGGCTTTGAAAGAGGATTGAACAAATAAGATATACTATTCATTGAACTGTAGATTTCAACAGAAGTAGCTCATAAAGTTCAACGAGAAAAGTAGAAGACCCAGTGGATCAGTTCATTCTCTGATCAGTTTATGCATAAGGTCCATATATGTGAAAGTGTCTATTCCACCTGTCTGTTCATAGAGTCCAACAATCCACACCAAAGGTTGTTACAGTTCCACAGAATCCTTTCACAGAGCCTAAGACAAGGATTTCCGGAATATTTGCCTTGTTTTGCCGTCCTCGCAAGAACTCGCAAGACATTTCGTCTTGTGAAGCAAGCCCATAGGGAAATTCGTCTTGCGGAACGACTCAAAAAACGCAAAACCCTTTCGTCTAGCGAGTTTTTCATCTTGCGAGGCATTCGTCTTGTGGGGCACCACTGTATTATTATTTAAAGCAATTAAAAGCAAGGTGTTCTACTGTATGGCGTCTTTCTTTGACCTACTCAGAGCTTATGGATTTGTGGTGTGGAAGGTAAAAAGGTAAAGGATCCCTGGATGGTTAAGTCCAGTCAAAGGCGACTATGGGGTTGCAGCACTCATCTCACTTGTCAGGCCAAGGGAGCCAGCGTTTGTCCACAGACAGCTTTCCAGGTCATGTGGCCAGCAGGACTAAACCACTTCTGGTGCAACAGAACACCGTGACAGAAACCAGAGTGCATGGAATCACCATTTACCTTCCCTCTGCAGCGGTACCTATTTATCTACTTGCACTGTTGTGCTTTTGAACTACTAGGTTGGCAGGAGCAGGGACAGAGCAACGGGAGCTCACCCCGTCACGGGGATTTGAACCGCCGACCTTCTGATCAGCAAGCCCAAGAGGCTCGGTGGTTTAGACCACAGCACCACACCAACGCCACCACACCACCTTTTTTGTGGAAGGTATCCACTGACTGTATCCATGGAAATGTGGTGCCTGTTTGGACAGCAATAGTCATACTGTGTGTCTAGGTGGAAAAGTGAGCCAGAAAGAAAGGTGTGGCACCATTAAGGAGGGGGACCGGGTCAAGAGCATGCAGACACAATTAAATGGTGTGGGAAGGTACGATAAGCCTACAAACCAGCCAGTACAGCAACAGGTAGCCAACTAAGCTTGCCAAAATAGGCAATCTGCTCCTCTCATTTGGAAACCTGGGTGCTTGGAGCTAGAGATATAGCAAAACTCGATCTGAGTTGCTATGAAACACTATGGTAGGTGGCAGCTGACATGCTGTTTTGCCAAGACAAGACACCCTTGTGGCTGCTCCTTCAGCAAATTCACTCATACAGGATACCACTCGCCTGCAATGGCTGACAGTGACCGGAATATCCCCAAACAACTTTTAGTTTTGGTTTTTTTTACAAGATATTTATTGAGATTTTCCAAATGTTACAATATAAAAATGACAAAAAAGGGAAAAAAAGAAAAAATACAAAATACAAAATAAAAATGATTAAAAACCACTCAATTTTTCCATTACTTATTTTTCCTTAGCTTGTTTCCCGGACCTCCTCATACCTCCCTTTTTTGTATTCCAGTTCAATTTGTTGGTTCAGCAAATCCTTACCCTCTTTGTTTATCCTAATCTTTGGTCTTAAAATAGTAACATTAGATTTTTACCTATTAACAACTCATTTTTCATATTCCCTTTAAGCATTACAGCTGGAAACCACTTAATTTCTATCCAACATCATTCTAACATTCATTAATTTTACAATATTTCTGTAGGTAGTCTTTGAATTTCTTCCAATCTTCTTCCACTGACTCTTCTCCCTGGTCTCGGATTCTGCCAGTCATTTCTGCCAGTTCCATATAGTCCATCACCTTCATCTGCCATTCTTCCAGAGTGGGTAGATCTTGTGTCTTCCAATACTTTGCAATGAGTATTCTTGCTGCTGTTGTGGCGTACATAAAAAAAGTTCTGTCCTTCTTTGGCACCAATTGGCCGACTATGCCTAGGAGAAAGGCCTCTGGTTTCTTCAAGAAGGTATATTTAAATACCTTTTTCAATTCATTATATATCATCTCCCAGAAAGCCTTAATCCTTGGGCACGTCCACCAAAGGTGAAAGAATGTACCTTCGGTTTCTTTACATTTCCAGCATTTATTATCGGGCAAATGATAAATTTTGCAAGCTTGACTGGGGTCATGTACCACCTGTATATCATTTTCATAATATTCTCTCTTAAGGCATTACATGCCGTAAACTTCATACCTGTGGTCCATAACTGTTCCCAGTCAGCCATCATTATGTTATGTCCAACATCTTGTGCCCATTTAATCATAGCAGATTTCACCGTTTCATCCTAAGTGTTCCAACTTTTAGAGGTGAACTACCAAAGGAGGGACACGGGTGGTGCTGTAGGTTAAACCACAGAGCCTAGGACTTGCCAATCAGAAGGTCGGCGGTTCAAATCCACGCAACGGGGTGAGCTCCCGTTGCTCGGTCCCTGCTCCTGCCCACCTAGCAGTTTGAAAGCACGTCAAAGTGCAAGTAGATAAATAGGTACCACTCCGGCAGAAAGGTAAACGGCGTTTCCATGTGCTGCGCTGGTTTGCCAGAAGTGGCTTAGTCATGCTGGCCACATGACCCGGAAGCTGTATGCCGGCTCCCTCGGCCAATAAAGCGAGATGAGCGCCGCAACCCTGGAGTCGGCCACGACTGCTGGACCTAATGGTCAGGGGTCCCTTTACCTTTTTACCAAAGAGGAGGAATGGGGCATCAGTATCCCTCCAGAAGCTATTGGGCACCAATGCTCATCAACCTTAAGGGATGTTGGTGGATGAGGTTATTGAAAGACTGGATAGCCCAGCTGGTTAGAGCATGGTGCTGATAACACCAAGGTTGCGGGTTCGATCCCCAAATGGGACAGCTGCATATTCCTGCATAGCAGGGGGTTAGAAAAGATGATCCTCAGGATCCCTTCCAATTCTATGATTCTATGAATAGCTAGCGGCCCACAGAACTTCCACATTACCCCATGCCATGGCCAACAATAATCCCCATACTTCAGAGAAAGCAAGATTCTCACAACCTCATCAAAAGTCAAAACCCACCCACGCACCATTTCAGGTACACTCTGAAGAACCACTCTGTCCTCTAGGGAACGACAGAAGATCATTTTTATCCCAACACAAATCATTTTGAACGAGCCAGCCCGCATATGAAATATTTCTTAAGCAAGACGCTACGCAGCAAAAGCCCCTGCTCAGATTTTGTCATAACCCAAAATAAACCGAACTTTATAGGTTCTAATTCTGGCCTAATCTTCCCTTGCTATGCTTGTATGGTTTCTAATTATTTTGTCCTCAAGCTCTGCCTTGATGAATGGTTGTACCTTTTCCAATACACAGTGACTTGTAAAGTGCCTTAAAATGACTGATTAGCTCCTTTTGTTAATTTCCAATATAAAGAAATCAGCAGATAGCATCCAAATGTAGTTTCATCAGTTTTTAAATTATCACAATTAGAAGGAAAAGAAGTGGGTCACAATTTGTACAGAAATTCCCAATCTAGGCACACACAAAAACATTAGATTCCCCCTCCTCTCTCTGAAAAGTTGTTAAAGGCCATAAATCCATTATCCAGATACAGATCACTCAATAATTTAATGTCTTTAGCTTGGCATGCTTCCCGGTACAAATTCCCTTTATCTGCCATTATTTTCAGGTTATAACAAATTGAGGAGTAGTTGGCGGTTTTGAAATCTTGAAGAGATAGAGGCAATCATAAAGAGTTCTGAATACAGCTGCCTCTTTGATGCTGAGAAGTGTTCCATTAGTGAGCAAGGGGGAGAGAAGACCGGAGGGAAGGAGAACAGAAGGTTGAATAGAACTTTTGACATAAATGTCCACGCCCCAATCGTTTTCTAGACTCAGGGGCAACTTTGGTGGAGGAGGGGGAGAACACATTTTTTGTAGCTGGTCCTTCCTCAGGACAAGAAAGAAGATTCTGACGGAGCATTGGGAAGAACTTTTGGACAGTGAGAGCTGTTCAGCAGTGGAACAGACACCATCAGAAGGTGGTGGACCTCTCCTTCCTTGGAGGTTTCTAAGCAGAGGTTGGAAGGCCAACTGTCATGAATGATTTAGTTGAGATTCCTCAATTGGACTAGATGATCCTTGAGGTCCCTTCCAACTCTACGAGTCTATGGGGTGCTGGGCCCCAGTTGTCAAGCAGATCTATAATCGCCACCAACTCACATCGCAACTTCAGTTGAAGCCCCAGCTAGTCACTTCTTGGGACCAGGCCAACGGAAAAGAAAAAGATGGACATCATTTGCTAGGGAATGGCAGGATCCACATCTCAACTAACGCCCAAGCGTGGAGGCGGAGGGGAACACATAGTGTGCCCAGATGGGATGGGTGGAACAAACTTGAAATGTTTCTGCTATTTGACTTAAGTCATTGGAAAAAACTCAGTGTGACGGGATAACTCAATGTTATGCTTAGTAGCTGGGCTACACATTACCCTCAGTAGGGCTGAAGCAACCATGCTCTGACTCTCTCCTAACAGCCTTGGGAAACTGGAAGGGTATTCTGTGAAATCATACCAAGAAGGTAGGAGATGCTCTTGGCCAGCTGACTTTTCGGTTCTGTTACCCTCACCTAGCAAATCTTCCCCAGCAGTTGGGAGGGGAGGAGAAAGTACTATCGGACAGCCTAAACCTTGTTAACTAAACAGCTATGTCAGATGTCACAAGGGACCAATGATGTTCCACCTTGCCCTATAAGTCTGCAGAATATCTCCCAGTTCTTCCTTTGGAGCAACTCTACCTTCACTGTCAAGACTAATAAGAGCCCTGCTGAATCAGGCCAATGGCCAATGGCCCATCTAGTCCAGCATCCTGTTCTCACAGTGGCTAACCATGTACCTGTGGAAAACCTGCAAGCAGGACATGAGCACAAGAGCTCTCTTCCCCCTCCTGTGGTTTCCAGCAAACTGGTATTCATAAGCAATACTTCCTCCAGATGTGGAAACTGTCCTGGTACTTGACCAACTACACACCCTTCCTTGCTTGTCCTATGACATGTTTAATCCAGAGGTAGCCATCATGGTACCTCTAGTTGCTGCAGACTCCAACACCAACATAAACCACAGTCAGCATGGTCACTCGCCAAGGATTATGGGAGCTGTAGTCCAAAACATCTGTGAAGCATCATACTGGCTATCCTGGGTCTAGCCTGCTGTGACATGTTGCCTGCCTGTGGGCTTGCACCTTCATTGCTTCATGTGCTTGCCAGTCCTGATGGACAACTCTTCACTGAGAGTCACAATCCAGCTATGGAAATTGCACCACCTTGCAGCTAGTTACTACCATCAGCATCAACAGGTAGTGGTTGCCCTTACAGTCTGGTAGCACATGACTAAGCACAGACTAAATCCCAGCTGATTTCTGCATATGCTCTCTGATGGCATCCATTTCACAAACGAATGCTGTGCAAATGAGCCAATGGTTCGTAAGGTCTGCATGCAAAAATGAAAATGTTGAGTACACTTCTGTTGTTGTTGTGTAGTCGTTTAGTCATGTCCAACTCTTCGTGACCCCATGGACCAGAGCACGTCAGGCACTCCTGTCTTCCACTGCCTCCCGCAGTTTGGTCAAACTCATGCTGGTAGCTTCGACAACACTGTCCAACCATCTCGTCCTCTGTCGTCCCCTTCTCCTTGTGCCCTCCATCTTTCCCAACATCAGGGTCTTTTCCAGGGAGTCTTCTCTTCTTTCTCATGAGGTGGCCAAAGTATTGGAGCCTCAGCTTCAGGATCTGTCCTTCCAGTGAGCACTCAGGGCTGATTTCCTTCAGAATGGATAGGTTTGATCTTCTTGCAGTCCATGGGACTCTCAAGAGTCTCCCCACACCATAATTCTTGTAGAAAATGTGTTCCCCCGTCAACCAAGGAGGTCCTGAAGCCCAGTGGTGCTAGAGCCTGGTGGGGGGCAAGGAAGCAAAATGTGGGAAGTGAAATCTTCTGGGTCTCTGGGCTTGGAGGTTAAAGGAGACTAATAAAAAAAGAAAGGGTGCCATAGATCTTCCTGTTCATGGACAAGGTTTTCCGGTTCCATAACTGCCACATTCATTCTAAACCAGAGAGGGGGAAATTTCCATAAAGCAGAAATTAAGAAGTACAAACTTGGGAATGGCTTTGTTCTCTTGAGGCTTAAAGGGAGTCGAAAGGTCCAAAGCCAGTGCACAAGAATATTAAAGCAAATAAATCAAAAGAGAGAATCGACCTCCTTGGGTGTTTGTAAAAGAAGCTAGAGAAATCTTCCCTTTCTTTCTGCATAACAAGAGGCCATTGCAGAACTAGTGATGGCCCAGAATTATGCCGTTGTTGGATGAAGCCATGGCTTGCCCTTTCTCCTGGAAAGGTGACAATCCGTCATTAGGACAAAGTGGTGCAAGTAGCACGGGAAAGGACTCAGTTCAAGATTTCTTGTAATACTTTATCCTGTTTAACTTTGGAATGTTTTGCAGTGTTTTTTTTAGGATGCTGTATTTTGACCTTCATTCGATCTTATGTGTGAGTTGCTTTGTTCCATGGAATAGTGGCATAGGAATATGGGAAATTGTATTATACCAAGTCAGACCATTGGTCTGTATAACTCAGTGGAAGTGGCTCTCCCGGTTTTGGGGAAAGTCTCTCTCTGCCTTACCTGGAGATGCCAGGGATTGAACTTAGACCCTTCTGCATGCAAAGCAGATGCTCTACCACTAAGCTATGACCCATCTCCCAGAGAGAGAGAGAGAGAGAGAGAGAGAGAGAGATCCTAAAAACTAATGTTCCATTCCACTCCAAGGGTGGCCCAGAAATTTCTGTTCTTAGAATGCATTAAAAAAATTATCAACATGCCATTTTAACTAATACGTACTAATAAAGGTAAAGGGACCCCTGACTATTAGGTCCAGTCGTGGCCGACTCTGCGGTTGCGGCGCTCATCTCGCTTTATTGGCCGAGGGAGCCGGCGTACAGCTTCCGGGTCATGTGGCTAGCATGACTAAGCCGCTTCTGGCGAACCAGAGCAGCGCACGGAAATGCCGTTTACCTTCCCGCCAGAGCGGTACCTATTTATCTACTTGTACTTTGACATGCTTTGGAACTGCTAGGTTGGCAGGAGCTGGGACTGAGCAACGGGAGCTCACCCCATTGCGGGGATTCGAACTGCCAACCTTCTGATCGGCAAGTCCTAGGCTCTGTGGTTTAACCCACAGCGCCACCCATGTCCCAATACATACTAATACTTGCAAGCAATTTTCCATTTTTAAATGTCCTTTTCACTACAATATGCATTTTTACGCACAGTTTCCCCTAACACATACATTTTGGTAGACACTATTCGGTCAGTGAACTGCATCAGAAAATTTGGAGAAGCGCAAACTTCGAAGGTTGGCTGTGTTTAGGTTCAACTATTGGTTCGAGAAGTAAGCATCGGGTGGTTCCTCATTAAAATGCAAAACGGAATTCCTCCTCCACGCCTAGTGCACACAGAGATGAGAACTTCACCGACGGGAGGCTGCATTTTGTTCCTGCCTCATGGTCATTCTACCTCACCCACGGGTGACGTATGGGAGGCAACTGCGGAGACATGTTTTCACCCTGAGCCATGAAAAACAAGATAGATCTTGAAGCGGGAACTACTGGAAAACAGCAGTCCCAAAGATCAGAAGCCTTGAACCGGCTGGTCTCTGTCTGTCTCCTTCTCTCTTAAAAATCCTGTCTGTGTACTCCAGACACAAAATACCGTATTTTTCGCTCTATAACACGCACCCGACCATAACACGCACGTAGTTTTTAGAGGAGGAAAATCCGTAGGCATGCCACCCGTAGGCATTCCCTCCATAACACGCACAGACATTTCCCCTTACTTTCTAGGAGGAAAAAAGTGAGTGTTATGGTGCAAAAAATACGGTACTCTCGTCCCTAAGTTTAAAAATGCAGACCAGAAGCTCAGCTCTCAACCAGTTTCTTCCTTTCCTGCCTTCTTGATAGAAAGAAATCCTCCGACATTCTCTTGTAATATTCATTTGCAAAAAGGGAACAAAAGTAGAGGGCCTGTTCCCCTAATCCTTTCCCCTTCCCGCCTTCGCCCTGGGGCAGGCACTAAGCTGCAAGTTATGACAAATGTTGGGATATAACTGCAGAGGCAAGCGAAGGGAGGGACGTGCAGAGTCCTCCCAGGTTTTGAGCCTTTCTGGATCGAGCTGTAGCTTGCTAGCCCAGTGAAAGGGGTGGGTTGGCACACGGTGTTGGTTTCCTCACTAGAAAGAGAGTACACTGTGTTTTATCCCGGTCTTGATTCACTTAATTCCCACCTACCTCCAAAGCTCTGTGGAAACCTGGGGAGAGTGCCTCTGGAGTAAACACTGAACGGGCCTGTCAGACTCAAGATTCCCAACTGATCCAGCAGGGAATCTGAAGAGGATGTTGGTTCTACTCCCCATATTTCTCATTCTGCCGTAGTTGCTTCACGGCTGGTCCCCCTAGCCAACGTTGAGTTAGGTGACCAGTTGTGAGGCAAGTGCAATGGAAAGTCAAAAAGACATTGTTGGGTGAGGAACCAGTATATTAGCAAGTTGACTGAATCAGAGTAAGGTTAACCATCGGGAGAAGGAGTCTACAGAGCAAGGACCAAGCCATACTGGGCAGCTGCTGTAAAGAAATTTGGGCATTTGTGCTTTTACGAATTCGTCACATTCAACCGCCCCCTCAGCCACTGGCGCTGCTAACACACATCACAGCTGTCATAAAACTGGTTCACAGATAGGGAGGGACAAGTTTTTTCATTTCAGTTTTTCTCAGTTTTCCATTTCCCCTTCTTAGGCTCACGACTCTGCATTACTACTCAGTTTGTGAATTATTATTCTTTTTTAAAGTACCCATGAAAACTCACCAGCATCTTAATTCATAATTATCATAATACACTGTCACCGGCCACCCCAATCCCTGCCAAGCTGTACATGGAATTCCAGGGGTCTTGGCTTTGGAGACTGTTGCAGTCTTAGGAAATACGATTTGTTCACATTTTTATACCTGAGTTTAGTTGGAGGGAGTCCAGTTCTTACAGCATGGTCCTCTCAAGAGGGGCTTGTTTCCCACAGCAGAGCAGCCCTGGAGCCCAAGGCATATCTCCCAGCCTACTTTCAGTCAGCCTGCCCAAGCACACCTTGCTAAAAGACACTTTTCCTGACACCTCACACACAGAGAGACACTGTCATCTTGGCAACCTCTGTCTTCCCAGACCCAAGGATTCGTCTTAAGATGGCCATCAACACCTTTTGTCATGTTAACGGCTTTGCTCTCCACTCGTCTGCCTAGGCTGGTTTGCAGAAGCCAGCCCAGGGATTCTTTGTCTGGCACACTGCTGCAGCTTGTATTTTCATTCATATCCCACGTAACCAAAATCCTAACGTTTATTAATTTATAGGGTTTAGGGCTAACCCACCCCACCCCCGCAAATAAATATACAGGTTTGTATTCAATTTTGTCCAACAGACAATTTTTTGTAAAGCAATTTCCCACACACTGCAGTTTAGTACATTATTATTATTATTATTATTATTATTTTACAAATATGTGCACTTTTGTGCAAATTTCACCCTAGTGCTTGCATTTTTTGTATACATTACTTGGCAGCAGAACTGCATGGCAAAATTCGAAGTCGTGTGAATGCTGAAGCCTGGCTGTGTTTCAGTTCTCGTATTCTTTCAGAAAGTGCCAATCAGGTAGGTCAGCCTTCAAGCATGAACTGAATTGAATTTCTCCCCCATCCCTACAGTCATAGACTGGTCCTGGGAGAATCTGAGAATTGTAATTTCATGGTGAAGGGAAGAACAGCCACAACCAAGCCAAGAACAGGCCTGGGCTTGTGTAGAAGTGATCCAAGCCAATCGGAGACCACAATGTGATGACAGGACTAAGATCAAGCCCAGCCCAGTTAGCAAGGGCAATGCTTCCTGGATTGGTCAGGTGGGTGACCCTAACCAATCAAGAGCACATTACATCTCCTCTAAGCAGTCAGAGTGTTTGCGAATTGACAAGAAAGGGGATGGGATCCACCGCTTTGCAAGTTTAAGGGAGGTGATCTGTAGCATGATTTGCAATTCCATTCCTCTCCCTCTTTCGACAAAGCTCTTGCATTAGGGACAAAGGAGAAATTTGATTCAGTTTGGCATTCGAAGTTGCATTCACTACCGTATTTTTTGCTCTATAAGACTCACTTTTTCCCTCCTAAAAAGTAAGGGGAAATGTGTGTGCGTCTTATGGAGCGAACGCTGGCTGCGCAGCTATCCCAGAAGCCAGAACAGCAAGAGGGATCGCTGATTTCACTGCGCAGCGATCCCTCTTGCTGTTCTGGCTTCTGAGATTCAGAATATTTTTTTTCTTGTTTTCCTCCTCCAAAAACTATGTGCTTCTTGTGGTCTGGTGCGTCTTATAGAGCGAAAAATACGGTGATTTGCACCTTCTGAAACAGACATCCCTCGAAATTTGTACTACTCTGGATTTTGCAGCGCAGTCAAGTAATATATGCAAAAACACATCTGCTAGGGTAAAGTGCACGTTAACATGCATATATAATTACGGGAAATATAAATAGTAAGGAAAATATGCTTTGCAAAAACGTGTATACAGCGGTGCCTCGGTTTACGAACTTAATGCGTTCCGGAAGTCCGTTCTTAAACTGAAACCATTCTGAAACCGAGGCGTGCTTTCCCTAATGAGGCCTCCCACCACCGGTGCCCTTCCACCATCCAGCTTCCATTTTTAGACCAAGGTAAAGTTCGCAAACCAGGACACTACTTCCGGTTTTGCGGAGTTCGTAAACCGAATAGTTTGTAAACAGGGCTGTTCTTAAACCGAGGTACCACTGTATTAGGCAATGTTGCATGCAAAACTGTGTGTATTAAGAGCAATTAACAGTAAAATGCAGGTGAATTTTCATGAGGACTTCTTTTTTAAAACAACAACAACAACCTGATGTGGAAATGTGATACTGAACTAAAGGATGGGAAAATGAGAAACTGAGAGAAAATGAAACTGACAGATTTGCCCATTCCTACATTCAATTGGGGGGGGGGGGGGACGAGCCTTTGCAAAGGAGCAAGCAATGTTATGCCTTTGCACAATCATAGGGGGCAGGGTCTTGGTTTTTTTTATATCTGATTAAAAAAAATTTTCCATTCACCTTCTTTTTTGTTCTAGTGCTGTGATCTCCACATTAAGGCAACAAACCTTACTGCAACACAATAAGTAAATAAACACTCGGGCAAATGGGTTCTCTGTCCTAGTTTGCACCTCTGACCTGTTTTTCCACATGGGACGGTGGAGCGGGGGTGGGGAAGAGAATGGCTGGAAGCCCAGCTGGCAACCAGACAAAACACTGTTGGCCTAATTAAGGTGGAAAGTTTGGGTATTTTTTATCTATTATGAGCAACCCCCAACCTGGTGCATTAATGGAAGCACAAATCGGAGACCAATCAGCTCAATGGGCTGCTTGCTTTGAATTTCTTAAGAAAGGGTTGTTTTCTTTTAAGTGTATGTGAAAGGGAATACATTCCTTGCTGTCGTCTGATTGCAACAATTAGTTTCCCTGCCATGAAGAATCACAAGCGGAGCATTGACTCCTGCTGGCCTCCCGCCCACCAGCGTGCCAAGAAACAGTCCATTTTGAAAACACGGTGTGCCTTTGAGGGAGAAGCTGAATATTTTCTCCCATTAAGTCGGGCAACAGGCAGC